TCATGTGACCTAGTTCGTGGCACTGTAAGCATGCAGATGACCGCAGTTGGTTTGTAGAGGAACACAGTATGGTATCTTCCAAATAGTCGGATGCTCCTCGGGATACCCCTTCCTTCAAATGTGATTAAATACGTCCCATTCTTGCCTAGGGGTCGAGAATGAATAATGTCATGGTAGTCCGCTATGGCATTATCAACAATGGCTCGTGCTGCGTCGCCAGGTGAAACGCCGTGTATAATTCCTCGTGGCTGACTGCCGGTTGTTGACCTGTATACTGTGACCTGGATCGTCTTGTTAGGGTCCTCCGTGGGCAGCTCTTTCAGTGCCATAAGGTCTTCTGCGTGGTGTTCCGTCTGCACAGTAATTGCGATGAAGTTATTTCTGTTATTGACGGTGTAACCTAACTGGTCGGTTTCGCACGGCGACTTTAAGAGCTTCCGGAAAGTGCTCCACAGAAGCCATGAGTCCACGTTGGTGATTTTCATGGCCGTGGTGGGCTTGACGATGACCGTGTACCTCGGTCCGTCTTGTTGCTGCTGGGGTCGATTTGGCCTGTTTTTGCGCTGAGCTTTCTTTTTGTGGTAGTTCGGAACTTGCCATTCACCATTGTTGCAGTCGTCGTCGTCGTTGCAACCGTTGTCGTCCATTATTTCTCCTTTTGCGTCGAGAAACATGTCTGCCTGCGTCAAGTCTTCCCCTTTACGCTTTTTTGCTACCGAAGATTCGCGCAATCTTCGCGCTTCACAGTCGCTGGTTAGGCTCAGCGGTTTTATGGCGTCTGTCTCCATGTTCGAGGTACCCGCTTGGTTGACCGATGAACCGCATTCGACTGCAGTTGCGATTGTTCCATCGCTTCGGTGCAAAATCACGATGTCGCCGGGATTCGGCTGCGTGAATAGTGTTTCACATTCGGCTGTTGGGCCCAGTACCGGTGGCCGCAGCAGCGGTCTTCCTTCATCGCTGGAAGCCGTATTTGCCGAAGGTCGCTTACCCGGTATTCGGCAAAGTGCGGTTAGCGAGGTCCTTGAAACTTCCGATGTTCCGTGTGAACTTCGGCGCTAGAAGTGGCGCCGAAGTAGGACCGAAAAAAATCGCTTTAGTGGAGCTGGATATGAGACACTTCTGATCCTATGCTAACACTTCGTCTTTTCCTCTCCTGTCGTCTGTAGCGCTGTCTGCGCTGACGACAGGGATACCGACGAGAAAAAAGCGGCGATGGTGGGTGCGCCCGTGTTTGCACTCTCGCGAAGTCGCCGGCCACGCGAGCCGCCTCCTTCTTGAGCGTTGAGCGCGCGATCTGGATTACTACAGAGAGTGAGTGATGCTCTTTAGATGCAATTACGTGCCTATCAGATGATCAAATTGATATTTCATCTTAGCTTCATCAGAATGCCGCCGCGGACCTTCGACACCCTGCTAGAGCTGTTGGCTGACAGGATCAGCAAGAAGAACACCCGCTACAGGAAGGCAATGGACCTTTTCCGAGAAGCGTTCTGCGCACGCGCGAGCGCCCGATGCCAAGCGGCGGAAATCGGTACGAAAAATCGAGGAAATTCGGAAGGAGGCTGTTGATCAGCGAGTAGAACACGTAATTGGAGCATATATATAATTCTGTTTCACAAAGAAAGAAAGTGGCCGGAAAGAAAAACACGTCGTTTGCGTCCTGTTTTTCTTTCCGCTCTTTAAAGTCCCGTTAGGCACGCGCCGCAGCTCAGAGAGCGAAAAAAACTGGTAGCGTAGCTCCCATTGCCGATTGGTAGCGCAGGTAGGTCACTTTCTCGATTTTTAGTTCGTGCAGCCACCGCCTGGTGCCGTCGGTATGTGGAAAAGGTCCATTGACCCCTCTGCTCGTCTGGCCATATCGTTGAGGTATCGTTACAGAAAGGGTGAAGTCACATGAAGGGTATGCGAGGACGGAGAGGTATTACGAGCTGTGCCTGATGTACGTGCCACAGGTGGGAGGCACTCACTTGATCGAATGATGTTCTAGCGAACGCCCACGTTTCACCGAATGACACTTCAGCGAATAGCCGGACGCCGCAAAGCGGCGTTTTCGGGTGGACCAAGTGGGTTCACATTTTTGTAATGAGCCGCCGCAGACTGTCGCCGCGAAGCGGCGTAAAGCGCAGCGCGGCGGATGGGTTAGCGCGCGCCCCCGTTATTCGCTAAAACGACGATTCGCTCAAATGTCGCTGTTCGCTAAAATGTCATTCGCTCAAGTGATATGGACTCCAGGTTGCCTTTAATAACGTGCACAGGCATCCAAACTCTGACATAGCGAGCGTTTGGCTGACTGTCGCGTAGTGCTAGAAAAATTAATAAAATTCAAATTCAAACATGGATGTAAATCGAGATATTAACAGAATTTGAAAATTAAAATGCTAGGCTCGGAACGGTGACAAGCAAAAGGTCCACGCCCGGTATAAAGCCAGCAGAAAGGCAACGACACGAAGAGAAGAAAACAAAAACAAAGAAATATAATAGTCATAAAAATAAAGTTCTACCAACGGACCACTAGCAACCAAACAGGAGGAAAGTTCTACCAACGGACCACTATCAACCAAACAGGAGGACAAAAAAAAACAAAAAAACTTGAAACTTTGGGCAGTGCAGTTGCGAAGAAACAAAACGAAATCCTCAAAACTAAACCTGGGAAAGAAAACGCCGCTCGCCGCGCAACATGCAGGCGGGAACCAGAGTTCGCTAGCACAGAAACTAAGAAGTGAAGCAAAGCGCTCGACTGTCCTGAGACGAGTCGACTGTCCCTCCCTCCCTCTTAAAACCTCCTTGCAATTAACCTTGCATTCCTCTCGCCTCCCCTTCCTACTCCTTCCCTCAAGCGTTTCCCCTTTCCTTCTTTCCACGGAGTGGTTGGGCACCGTGCTTGAAATCGAAAATAAATATGGTTGAAATAAAATGATTGTCCCCACTGTCTTCCCTGTGTGCCTCCTCCTTCTAAATGTTTAAAAGCCAACAACATGCTGAAATAGTACAAGCCCTAAAACGATTAAAAGATTCCCAAAAACTTGAGAAGAGAGATGACGGAGAAGGCAACAAGCGGTGCCCTGGCCCGCTCCGGTACTCCCTCTCTTCTCACGCAAAAAACAGAAAAATATCTGTTTATGTAGCCCCTGAACATTTCACCAGAAACCGAAAACACCCCCCCCCCCCCCCTCCCCTTTCCCCGAAAGAATAAACCACCGCCACGGTCCTTCCACGACCTTCCCAAAGTGACGGTTTGTGGTCGCAAAGCTCGGGCAACCAAGCTTGAGCGCAATACGACCCCACAACATAGGCCCAGGAACTGAGAAAAACATCTGCTTGTGTGAAGGAAACCCAAAAGGATTAAGAAGTTTCAAAGATGGCTTTTCTCTCGCCGTACTATTCAGGCATTGGCTCGATTCATTGAGCGAGCGAGAACTGAACCCATTTGCGAGCCATAACGAACTAAAGAAAAAAAAAAAGAAAGAAAAGACCACCAAATTTCGTGACACTGACACAGCCGAACGCTGCATCAGGAACACGCCCATATAATTAACGTACCCATGGGTTTAGTTCTCAACTTACCCGCTAGGTGTGCTACGGTTGGGTCTACTACCCAAAGGGTTTTCAGACCCCCCATCAAAATCAGTGGAGGGTCTGTGATCCCCCGAGAAATCGCCGTGCGCTGGGCACAGGACGGCATATCATGTACTTTTGTGATTGCATTTCTTGCACTGATACAACTGCATGTGCCTCGAACAAAGGTTTTTATCTGGTAATAATCGCTCGTCCGCTGGCTCCTATTACTGCGCTTTAACTGCAGTTACAATATTTTGTTCCAAGTGTTGCATTATTTCTTTGCCTTGGCAGGTTTCTAGCAGCAGGCCATTCGTTGAGGACCCTGTCCTACGACTTCCTGGTTGGAAGGTCCACTGCTTGCTCCGTGGTCTCCGACGTCTGCGCAGCTTTGTGGGACATCTTGAGGCCCCTCTATCTGGTCTGCCCGCAGACCGCCGACGAATGGCTCAGGGTATGCTAAGGCGTCCTGCTGCAATCACTAATTTGAAAGCAATAACCGCAACAAAGATGCTTAAAGGAGACCATGCAACGACTGGGGGATACCAGTAACCTGCACAGAGGCAGGAAGTTGAACTAATACAAGAGAGAACATGCAGTGAGAGTACTCTTTTAAAATGCAGAGAGCATGCTTTATTCATTATCATTATTACATGCCCAGATGTAATCGAACTGGCACCAAGTGCGAATAAGCTGTAGCAAAAGAGGCAAGATGCACCAAAATGCTCCGTGCCCCCCCCCCCCCCCCCCCCCCCCCCCCACCCTGCCCCGGGCTGTAGCCATATTGTACGCTATCCTGAGTTTCCTGACTACTCGTTGCACGACCTGACCAAATGTGACAATAATGACTAAAGCATGGCCACATCCATGCCTCCATGTTCGATACACTGGGCGCCGCCATCTTTTCGCAGTTGTCATCATGCGTTTGACGATAACTGCCATTGTTCAGTAGACCACCAGGATGTATGTAGCATACCTTACCCCCTTGTACTCTGACATTTTGAGGCTGAAAGCATATGGGCGGAACACTTTTTGTGATCATGCTATACTTCGTTTCATCTTCGGTCCGAGCGCATTGGATGCTACGAGATATTCCAGTCAACCCAGCGCTGAGGGAGTATCATGTGGCCTTGAGCTCCGCGTGTCGCTCTGCCTAACTGGACAGTCACGTGATGCTCTCCCAACGCTCCATCCATTGCGCTCTGACTGAAGGTAGAAGAGAGTTTATGTGTTGCACTTTTAACCATTTGAAAAATTATTTATCCTTGTATCATGAGGGAAAAATGGTAAAACTAGGAGAGCTTACAATTCTTTATTCATATGTTGAAAAAGAACATTGTTCGATATCTCCTTATACAGGTTGCAGCTGAATTCGAGGAGAGGTGGAACTTCCCTCATTGCCTCGGGGCCATTGATGGGAAGCATGTTTCCATCGAGTGTCCCAATAACTCTGGGAGCCTTGACAGGAACTATAAAGGCGGCTTCAGCAAGTCACTGCTCGCCGTTAGTGATGCACGGTATAGGTAAGTGTGTCTCTCATATGACAACTTTAGATGGCTTTTTATGACAGGTTTAGATGGCTTAGATGACAGGTTTAAAAGTTGATATTTTATGGTGTGCGAACTATCTACAGCAGATATGGATTATGCAGGGACTTTTAAGCTCCTATTGTGGGGTTTAAAAAAAAGACACAAGCAAGGCTGCATGTGTGTCGGTCGTATGCAGTTTGCAGGGACTATGGGGTGAAGCATAGTAACATATGACCCACATCACAGCATAAAAGAAGCATGCCACTCTTCCTTTTGTCTGTTGTTTAGGTTTCTCTACGTGGAACTGGGCCACCATGGGAGTGAGAGCGACGGTGGTATTTTTTCAAGATGCACCCTCCAAGAACAGCTGCAGCTTGAACAAATGGGCACACCCCAAGAACAGGACGTTGGGAGGGAGGGGCCGCTTCCTTTTTTTTGTCGGTGACGAGGCCTTTCCCTTGAAAACCTACATGATGAGGCCTTTTCCAAGGAAAGGTGGGTGCATTGCATCTTGCAAGCTTCATGTTTAATACAGCTCACTGTACTGCTGCTCCACCTTGCTCATGACTCTCGGGTGTGCGTCTCCCTCCTTCACCTCATGGAACCTAGTGAAATACCCAGGCGTGTGTAGGCCGCACTTCAACGAAACATAATGGTGCCATCCAGAAGCCAAAAGTGGAATTGTCCACAATCTCAATTCTCAAACAAGCTAACTAGGAACTCGGACATTCCTGAAGTGCCCTCAGGGGCTCCTTGAGCTTTTGTACTCCTTTGGTTGTCCCCACCCCTCAGTCGGAGCCATCCATTTCGTGCTTAACCATGTGGTGCACATGGTGCTGTAGTTTTATTGTTAAATGGAAAAGGCCAGTTTAACGTTTAAGTTTACGAAAAGACATACACACCGCTTTTCTATTTCTACCAACTAGCTCAACTCAAGCCTGTTTTGCTGTTTTATTGTCGTTTACAATGTATGTAGGCTTCTGCAACACTTTGCTGCCTCAATGCATAGGGTGTGAAGCATTGCTTGCCTATGAATCAATGCCTTTCTCAAAATCGAAAATTTTGAGTACCTATGGTCGATGATTTTGCACTACTCATGTTTATGCAGGTCTGCAGCCTCCTTCAGACCCAAACCCAGACCCCGAGGCTGAAGCCAAGGCTGAGCTGCACGAACGAAGAATTTTCAACTATCGCCTAAGCAGGGCCCGCAGAGTGGTTGAAAATACCTTTGGCATTTTGGCCCAGAAGTGGCGAATCCTGAGACGACCATTCAAGGCAAATGACGAAAATGTGAATAGGATCATTGGTGCGTGTGTAGCTCTGCATAATTATCTGCTGAAGGAGTCTACCGTCTCTGCTGCATCATACTGCCCGGTAGGCTTAACGGACACTGAAGACTGGCAGGGGCGGCTGAAGCCTGGGAGCTGGAGAAATGACCCTCCGGCAAGCTCTGCCCTGGTGGCAGCACCAGCAGCTGGCTACAACTCGAAACAGTATGTGGCTATCTCAATTATAGATAATGATAGACTGGGGAGTTAATGATATAGAGCTTATTGCTTTAAGAGTATATTGGTATCAGAGGAACAGGCAAATAATGATAGTGACGCTTATAGACTCGGGAGAGCCGCAACACTGTAGAAAGGCAACAGCCCTTATCGTAGAGGCCAGTGGTAGAGGCCCACGCAGTGTCGCCAACCTTTTTTTCGAAAATACCCCACGCCAGCCTCCAGAAAACCCTACATTACCCTACGAATGTTTCTTATTACTCTACATTTTACCCTACGACGCAAATCTTTGTTCAAATAATTCTGTTGCATAGATTATGATGATACAGGGAAATATTAATGCAGTACAAAGCGACAGGACACGCATGCTCGCGCATACATGCTAGCATGTGCGTAGTGTAGCATCAGCACAACAGTCGACAAATTAAAAACTGGCCTACGTGAGACCAACACTCGCGGCGACAGATAAGGCGGCTCATTACAAAAGGAAGCCAATCCGAGCTTCTTTGGGTGTACCGCCTAGGGATTCGTCAAACAAAGGTACTAGGGGAGGATAGGAAACCGGCGGCTCTTCCGTATTCGCTAGTGTCATTCGATGAAACGTCGGTAGGCAGTCGGTCTTCAAACTGCCTACCGACTGCACAACGTGCTGGGAAGCTCCGCGGGAGCTTTGAAATCGATCTCCGTACTCGTCGATCATCCGTGACCGACGCTCTATGGGCATGGTAAAGAGAGTTAATTGCAACGCGCCAGTACAAAAGAGCGCCCAGGGCGAGTGGTAGTTCCAGCTATGGTTATTTGCAGCATGCGCACCTTGCACCAGCGCGTAAAAAAAGCCCAGTTGAACAGGCGGCTGCCGGTTCTGGTGGGCTCGGGGTGGTTCCGCCCGCGGTGCCACGTGTTTCGCAGGTGTAACAAGGACCGCCCAGAGTCATCAGAGAAAAACTGGCGGGAACATTTTTACTGGGAAGATACCTCTTCTGGGTCCATACTCGCTATGCGCAGCTTGGTGTGTGGTGCTCTCTGTTAGTACGTCTTGCAACTTGGATACTTTTGTTTTGCATGATATCGCGCTGTGGCAGCACACGGGTTGTAAAGCTATGGAAAGCTTGCACGGCAGCATTTTATTTTTACTGTATTTTTATTTATTTTTTTAAATTTTGCTCGCCGTTGAAGAAGCAACGTTTGAAATACCCTACTTTTGTCGGGGAAATGGCCGGACGGCCCTACAACCCTACAATGTACCAAAAATGCCTAAAATACCCTACAAGTAGGGTAATTACCCTACGGTTGGCAACACTGGGCCCACGCTGCTGCGCGTTTGAAAGTGAATGTCATGAATAGACGAGATCAGCGAAATGGTCTTCCGATTCCGTCTAAAATTATTCAAACGTGGAGGTGCCATTTGAGGCGAATCAGCATTGTTCCGAAATACCTCGTGTGCAAGAGTGCATGTAGCAGATAGCCCAGCTGCATGGTGGTGCACGGGGCATTAGCTCACTTCTTCGAAGGCAGCTGGCTACAAGTAGCAGCCTATTAGAAGCAGACACCTGCCACCTAAACATGTTTATGTCCAGGAATCGAAGCATAGCAATGCAGTTGCAGGCGACGGCACTGCTATGCTTCAAGCCCTCGATTGTGTTGATGGTCCTGTTCTCACCGTTATGTTAAAAGAGAAGTTTAGACTTTCTTTTTGGTCATCACTATAATCACAGATACACCCTCGATGCAGAAATACAGGCTGTTAACAGAATCACTTATAAATTTTTATATCTTTTAGCTTATGAGCAGACTACGCTCGGGGAAACGAAACAACGGAGTAATATGGATGTTTTTAATATGTTTTCTTATAGGTATGCTCGCACTGTGCGCACCAAGTTAGCGCATCACTTTGTGACAGCTGGTGCAGTCCTCTGGCAGGACGACAGGATTGCTTGTCGCCCGCAGTAAACAAAGGTATGCCGACATTTTCAATGCTTTTATTGAACAAATGTAATATTTATCTCATCCTCATTTCTTTGTGCACTACAAGATAACAAGGACCCTATTTCTTGAATAAATAAAATAGATAATTGAAATATGGTTAATTGCACGTTCTTGAGTATTTGCTAAAAGGTGTAAAAATTGTACTGTTACTGTTGAACCAAACCTGTGCCCACAAATCGCCTCCTTAGAAATGGAAATCGCCATGATATTGCACATAAAGCAGTGTTTCCGAAACGCTCCTACTCCGCAACTCAAGCGTGCCACGACCCCCCCCCCCCCCCCCCCCCCCCCCCTTTTGTCAATCAAACCCAGTTTGGGAAACACTGCTATAAAGAAACCCTGAGGTAAAATCGCAGCATGACAATTAAACAACATTGTCTTTGCAATATGTTTGTGGACATTTGAACAATGTTTTACTTCCTTGTCATAGCGACAAACTACTGGAATTGTAACCAAGAGACACAAATAAATAATACTTCTTAGGTTTGTGGCTTACATAAACAAGGTATCTACCGACATAGTTGCTTGTACCTAGGTCCACTTTACAACCCTGTTCTGCTGTGGGACTCAAAATATTTGGCCGAGATGTGCCCCATAGTGTAAAAGCAGTTCCAAAATTCTTTCAATAAATTTCCACTAGGCCTACCAATATTGTGATTTATAGAACATCGGTCAGCCCCAGATCCCTGCACTCCTGCTCTTCGTGATATAGCATGTTGTCAAAACTGTTCATGATACTTTGAAATCTATCTTTTGGAATGGCCCTGAGGCGGCAGTCTAGTCGCATGCAGAAATGATATATTTCATCTCTCTTTGATTCACTTCTCAGCGCTCTTAATGCACCAAGGTGGCCGACACAGGCCTCCAACTCGTGGCTGCGGCCTTCTCCTCCCTGCAAAAGGAAATGTTTCATTTTTCAGTACAGTACTGGAAGCAACAACTCTTCAATTTAATGCATTTAAATTATTACACTTTTATTTCGCTTTGTTGCATAGAACGGCTACGGAATGTAAGTTGTACTAAAAGCAGAAAATGTATATACTGTGATGATCTGCACCTCTTCTGTCGTTTCTGTGTTGTCTGCGGCCTGAAGAAAAGAACCAATAATTGCTTGTTATATGAGGAAACACTTCTTTTAGAAATGTATGCTTCAGCCTGGTTAACTGGCAGAACGAACGCAGTCCTACCTTTCAGCAGGTAGCCCTTCCTCTGGTGATATGGGCTCTGCAGCTATGAAGGACCTGCAAGAATTGCGTTTTTAGGGCACAGCTAATACACCTGTCTTTAGATTAAAATATCACTTCTCAACCTAAGGACGACAGTAGCTAGCTGATTTCTTCCCATACAATACTTTTTGTGATATATTTTGATGTAATACTTTTTACAACACTTCAAACACCTTACTACATGCGTAATGTCACTAAATGCGTAAAGCGTGTGTGCACATAAACAATTTCAGTTCAGAAAAGCAGTGTACATCCTGCCGGTGTGAATTTTCATTTACTCATGTGCAGGTGACTCCTCCAAGCCACAGCCAACAACTGAACTTGAGGCGGTTGAGGCGGGGCGGGAGTGAGAGGAGGGTAGTATTTTCACGACTCAAGAAATAAGTATTAAGGGAAATTCACCAACGCGCACACCCCGAAATCCTGTGCTGTCCGAAAGCGTATTATACACCTGAAAAGTGTACGCAGCAATTAAACTAAGTTTCAGTCAGAGTGATATACTTTTGTGTATTTGTAATGGTAAATATTTCATTAAAAGTATCTAAGTTGAAAACATAAAGATCGACTGCACCAGACACCAATGCATCCAAAGGAAATAAAAAAACAGTAAATATTTTTCGGCTTATTGTTTCCTGCGATACTTACTCTTATATTAAAAAATATAAAAAATAGAACCTTATGTTTTTTTGTTTTTTTACCGTTGTGAGTTGCAGGTTTCTTGCCTTCTGTGGCCGTCTTCACTAAAAAAAAAGAAAAAAAAAGCTTTTTACAACAACCTTTTCGTATGATACAGTATGATTTCCAACTAATTACAATAGTTTATTTTTCAGCTTTTGGCGAGCAATTTTCGCTTGCAATATTTTGCCATCAAGGGGAGAGGTACAACGGCGCGTGTGCGTCAGTCTCCCGCAAGAACGAAGGTTGCTTCCCTCGCTTCCCTCAGAGCTTGGCAAGAAAATGACATACCATCGAGATTCACACATTTATCAGCGACCTCCGCGGTTCCCCATTGCCCGTTGTTCGGAAGCGCCATAATTTGCGCGGTGAATGTTACGACAATGTGAAATGCGGGACATTTTGAAGATTTGGGAATTTCTTGCGGTATGCGGGACACGAGCCCTCAATGCGGGACAGTCCCGTGAGTCGCGGTACGGGTGGGAGCCTCGGCGCAGAACTCCATACCAGCTAACGCGCGTCGCTATTTCCCGCGGGAAGCAGTGCCGGATGTAAACAAACGCACGCATCACTTCCGGCGAAGCTGTGATTGGCTCGGCCGTCCAGCGACTTGTTTTTGCGACTTGAGAAATCGGTCAGGGAGCGACTGCCCAAAAGTAACAGGGGCCTTATCCAAAAGCGGTCGGTAGCGACGCGTTTTGGTCACTCCGCGACCAAAAAGCAGTCGCTAGTCGCTGGTCGTTCCAGCGACTGTCGCAAGTGTGAACGGGCCTTCACTCCCCGATTAGATGTTTGCAACAAAACCTAATTTTCGCAGTGGTAGTGAGTATTAATTGTTTGATTTTGGCAATAGCTACGATGGTTTCCAATCACAAAACCAAATCCTATCATTGTTCGATTGCTCTTCACTCGCCGCGAGAAATATGTCATTGTCAAATTACTGGAGACTTCTGTGTCATATCAAGATTGAGCACATATGCTCACTTTAAAAGATGGGAAACTTTTTGCTGTAAGCTGTTTATTTGGCATTGTTTTCAGCGATTCATGCGTCTGTTCGCGAGGAGTGAAAATGAGCCTAAATATTTTTCGATTAACTGAGGATGAGCGATGGAGCGATCCGCTCTGGTTTCGCGTTTCGTTTAGCTGCGACGCGCTCCTAAATTTAAGTGATAATATTAAAAACGAATGGGCAGGTTCTCGATGAAGACTCAATACCATAGAGCTGAGCTGTTTTTCTTGACCTCATTGCTTGGTTTCTTTTAGTTGCAAGACACCGTCGTCAGTCTTTGCTTATATGCTTACTTATATAATCAAATTCGAAATGATTGTCAATTTTGCGTGGAGGCATTTAAGTCAAGGAGAAGAAAAGTAGAGGAGACACGAGTTTTTAGTGTCGCAGTGTTGAACTCCAAGTACCGTTTTTTGAAAGGAGGCGCAGAAAAAGCTCGCTGTTTTCATGACCATATCAGGCACGTAATTGCCAATCAAGCAATTCAACTTTTTTTTTCTAGGCTCCACGGCTGTGGCTGGACGGCGTAAGGCTTGTGAGTATACGCTAAGAAGCTCGAAAAAGATCACGAACCTAGAGATTTTATGTAAATTTAGCGAAGTGTTTTTGCAAGGACACATATCATCACTTTCGTCGCACGTAACCTTAACGTTTCATCCTGTTTTGTTGTTCATTTCTTTGATTCTTGTCTGCAAAACAGTGAGAAATTTCGTCTGTATTTTCTACTGTCTGTTGAATAAAAATGAACGCAAAAGGACAAGCATTGCATATTTTTTGTGTATGTGTCACTTTCGTCGCTTTGCTAGGTTTCTGCTGCTTTGCTGCTGGTCTCGCTTTTCAGTGCTGGCTTGTGTGCGTTTCAACGCACATTAACCAGCACTGAAATGCGAAAACCAGCCGCGAAGCAACGCGCAAAAAAAAAAAAAAAAAGCTACAATATCAATATATATATTTTTAACTCTAGGTGGCGCAAGCTACCGCCCATCCATCCAAACACAATGGCGCTGCCGTGCAGTTTCAATTTTGGTTTCGCTGTGCCGCCATGTTGATTTTAGTACAGCCACCAGATACCAGGGGATTCAAATAGCGCTGCGGCCTCCCAGGGTTTTCCAATTTGCGTTCCATGGGCGGTATAGGAAGTTGCACTCCTCTGGCCTATTTTGCCGTATCACAGTTGCCATCCCAAGGCAGTGAAGAAACTCAT